ACCAGCCAGGCACGGTAGTGGCCTCCGCCTCCCAGAAGGGCACCCTGATTCGCCTTTTTGACACACAGTCCAAGGAGAAACTGGTGGAACTGCGCCGAGGCACTGACCCTGCCACCCTTTACTGGTGAGCACAGGTTATGTGCGGCGGGCTGTGTGACCCTATGACCCTCTGCCACCTGACCTGTGTGCATCACTGCCGATATGTCTTCTAGCATCAACTTCAGCCATGACTCCTCGTTCCTCTGCGCTTCTAGCGATAAGGGCACAGTCCATATCTTTGCTCTAAAGGACACCCGCCTCAACCGCCGCTCCGCGTGAGTACTCCCTGCCCGGCCCCACCCTGTCCCCCGTCCCCCTGCCTGTGTCCCACACCTGGGCTCAGCCAGTGCTGCCTGCAGGCTGGCTCGCGTGGGCAAGGTGGGGCCTATGATTGGGCAGTACGTGGACTCTCAGTGGAGCCTGGCGAGCTTCACCGTGCCTGCCGAGTCAGCCTGCATCTGCGCCTTCGGTCGCAATACTTCCAAGAACGTCAACTCTGTCATTGGTGAGTGGGAATAGCTCTTGCCTCTTGACCAGGGGTGCTGCATGGGCAAAGTCCTGCAGTTTGGACCTGCAGGAATTTCAGGGCATGGGAAGCCGGAGAGAGCTAGAGCGGGCGGCTCAACTCCATCACCAGAGGGACAGCCTGAACAAAGGCCTGGAGGTAGACTGTAGGCCATGGGACACTGTCGAGGATTGGAGTGGGTGGCTTTGGCAGCCTTTAACCTTTTACCCGTTCTCCCCCCCTCCCCACCCTCTCCGCTTTCAGCCATCTGTGTAGATGGGACCTTCCACAAATATGTCTTCACTCCTGATGGAAACTGCAACAGAGAGGCTTTTGATGTGTACCTTGACATCTGTGATGACGATGACTTTTGAGGACACTGTGGGTTGTGTGAGGGACCTGCCGTGCTAGATTAAAGCCTTCAGGGGGTCAGGAGTGCCGTGGAAGCTACCAGCCAGCAAGCAGTAATGGGGCAGGTGCCCACCTTCCAAACAGCAATGCAATGCCTACACAGCTCACTTACCCCCAAAAAACTTCTTGGGGACTGTGTGCCTGCAGGACCAGGCCAGGGACCCATGGAGGGAGGAGACCCCCCTGGGACTCCCAGCCTGAAGACTGCTAGCGACCTAGAGGGAGTGCCCTAATTCACCTGTGGGGATTAAAAAACCTTCCCAGAAAGAGACATCTCTGATGTGGTGAATATGAATAAAAAAAAGGCCCTTGATAGTATTTATGGCTGGACCTGGGGTGCAGGGGTGGGGCCTGAGGAGATGCAGCTGAAAAAGCCCTGCGGGAGTTTCCAAGTAGGTGTGGCCCTCTTGGACCCTAACAGTGGGATCCTGCAATCCTGCCCGAGTCTGACAGCCCCTATCTGTATGTCCCAGAATGTGTTACTGCATGTCCTGGAAGGTCGGGATTACTGTGTTCTTGAGCCGTCAGCACGGCTAGGAACCGCCCCTTGGGCGCCCCCACCTGGGGGTGGATGAGAGAACCTCGCCCGGCGGCGAAGACTTGATTTCCCGGCAGCCCCTGCTGCCTTACACTTTCGGCGTGTTGCTGGCATTTCTGGTCACGTGCATTGTTGCTACGTAGTCCGCCTAGGTGGATGAGAAAGCAACTGCTGGACTCAGACTCCATTTCCCGGTGTCCCTCGCGGTGGCGCAGGGTACAACGGGGGTTGTAGTCCGGCCTCTCTTCTGGCTGGTCCAGCTACATCGACCAGCAGGATGTCGGAGGTGCGGCTGCCACCGCTACGCGCCCTGGACGACTTCGTTCTGGGGTCCGCGCGTCTGGCGGCTCCGGATCCGTGCGACCCGCAGCGATGGTGCCACCGCGTCATCAACAACCTCCTCTACTACCAAACCAACTACCTTCTGTGCTTCGGCTTCGGTCTCGCTCTGGCTGGGTGAGGGAGGGAGGGGAACGCCGGTTGGCCGGGGGCGACTGCGGGCAGGAAGGGTGGACCAGTGGGGTTTTGAGGAATGGGAGGGGGATGAAGGCTGGAAGGGCGAGTTCATTAGAGATGGAAAAATCTTCGGGGCCTGGGAGGGGAGACTTGAAGGAAGTCGAACGTGGTTATAAGGAGTGCCTTGGGTGGGATACGGGCTGGGGATAGCGGGTCGGGAGGATGGAGAATGTGGGACTGGAGAGGAAACCGGGTAAGGAGGTGGACCAGAAGATAAGGAGGGCCTGAAAGTGAAAGTGGGGGTGGAGGGGGAGGACGTGAGTGATGGGGCCAGATTAAAGCGGCCTTGGAGGACTTCGGTCAGAGACAGGGACAGGGACAGGGATGTGGTCAAGTTGAAGGGTTGGGAGGGTGGGCTTGAGGAGGCACTAGGCGTGGACGGGAGCCTGGTTGTGACTGGAACATTCCAGGAGCATGTACCTCTTGGGGAAATTGAACGGAGAGGGAGGACCCAGTGGTGGAAGGCTTGAGACTAGAGAAGGGTGGAGAACCTGGAGGAACCTGGGCAGGGTAGGAAGTTAAGAGTGGTACTGAAAGCATGGAAGGGGTGCTAGCAATGATGGGGGGAGAGATGTACTGGGAGTGGGAACCTGCATGGGGAATTTGAAGGGGAGGAAGTCTGGAACGGGTCTTGTAAAGACTCTGGGCCCGCGGAGAGGGAAATGTCTGGAGACAGAAGGCCTGGAAGAGGAATCTACAGGGATGGGACCAAAGGGTGGATTTGGGGGCGGGTTGGGGTGGGGTCTGAGGGGTTGGAGAGGGGCCCCGCCGGGGTAGGGCTGGAAGAAAAAGAGCTGTTAAGGTCTGGGAGCCTGAAGGCCTAGCGGGTTGAGAGGACCTGAAACGGGAGAGCTAAGGAAGATGGGACTGTAGGATTGACGGAAAGGAAATTAGGGCCTACAGGGCTCCTGGGAGTCGGAAGCCCTGGAGGGAGGAACCTTCGGGAGACTGGCTGGCAGGAGTTGTCTGCCGGTCTAGAGGTCCCTGAGAGGGGGGAACCAAAGCTCTTGGGGTGCTGGACGGGGGTGGACGGGGAGGCTTGGAGGCTGGGCAGCCCTCTTGCCGTCGCCCGGGCTAGCTCAGTTCTATTGTCCTCGCAGGTACGTGCGCCCGCTGCACACCCTCCTAAGCGCGCTGGTAGTGACGGTGGCCCTTGGCGCGCTGGTGTGGGCGGCTGAGACTCAAGCAGCCGTGCGCCGCTGCCGCCGCAGCCACCCCGCCGCCTGCCTGGCCGCAGTGCTTGCCTTCGGCCTCCTTGTTCTCTGGGCCGTGGGCGGCGCTTGCACCTTCCTGCTGAGCATCGCCGGGCCCGTGCTTCGTAAGTATCCGCTACCCGTCGATAGCCCAATAAACGGCCAGCGCTTGCGCACAGTGGCAGGCCAGCCCTGCCCTAAGAGGGGGCGGGGACACCAGGCGGGCGTGGCCACACCGCCTTCGCAAAGCGCCTTCCCTGGCTTTGCCTTCCCTCTTCTAGGAACGCCCCTCTTACTACCGCCCTTTCGGGCCTCGCTCCGAGTATTGAGCGTCCTCCCCAGGCCACGTCCGGGTTACCCTGAGCCCTCCCTGGCCACGCCCCTGTTGCAAGGCTCATTACTCGGCCACGCTTTCAGATCGCAGGCATCCTGGCTGCTGACCACTTTATTGGCCTGCCCGTGCTCCAGTTCTCCTCTGTGGGCCCCCATTGGCTAAAAGCTGAGGTCTCATCCCACTGACCCTGCTCCTCTCGGCACTGCCCACAGTTATTCTGGTGCACGCCTCGCTGCGCCTGCGAAACCTCAAGAACAAGATCGAGAACAAGATTGAGAGTATTGGTCTCAAGCGGACGCCCATGGGCCTGCTACTGGAGGCGCTGGGACAAGAGCAGGAGGCTGGATCCTAGGGGTCTGGGATCTGTACCCAAGACCTGGAGAATGCCATCCCCACCCTGGCCCTGTAGAGGGACCCAGAGCCCTTTCCCAGCCCTTGAAATAGAGGGCCCCGTCCAGTTCAAAAAGCAGAGGACATCAGCGACCCTCCCCGCCCCAGGTCCGAAATTGGGATATCCCTGCTACCCAGCGCCTGTTACCTAGGGGACCACACTTCCCCAGCCCTGAACCTGGGGCGTGGAGCCCAGAGCATCCGTGGCCAACCTCAAACTCTGGACCCAGAGATACTCCCCCCACCTCCAATCTGGGACCCACCCATCTCCCATGCTCAGCCCCAAAGCTGGGATCTGGGACCAAGGCATTCTCTTGAACCCGGGACTAATAAGGCTTTTCCAGACCCTACCCTGGCTTTGAAACCAGGTTAGGGCATTGCCAAATCTTGAACCTGGGACCCAGTGTTCCCAGCCCACATCAGGACAGAGAATTCAGGCATCCTGACGCTGTTGAACCCTTGGTTCCATGTGACCCAAACACCAGTCCCACTTGCCTCTTTCCAGCTCTGCTTAGGGGTTCTGCCCTCCTCTCCAAAGTTCCACAGTGATGAGGACCAAGGGGTATGGTGGGGAGGGGTGGGGGTAGACCCGGAATGGGGCATCTATAATCAGTGTTACTGCAACAATAAAGGCTGGTACATCGCTCAAGCCAACGTGGGCTTCTGGGGTCAAGTCCATGCGCTTCAGTGGCCAGTAGTGGCCTTCTGCTTTTCAGTTCTGCTGGACTTTTTCTGACTAGGTCTCTTTCTGTCGAGTATGCGGACTGAGCAGGGAAGCTCTGCATTCCTTCATCCAAGTGGCTCCCTTTGGGGCAGAGCACAGAGCAGTTAAAGGCAGAGTGTTTCCTATCATTTGTATTACTGACGGCTCCTGTCCGGGGCTGGCGAGGAATCGGAGCACAGACAGGCGAAGCTGTTGCCCCACATCACAGCAAGTGAAGCCCAAGTGGATGACATTAGGCTGTTCCCAGTGTTTGTTTGATAATCTGGCATCATAAAAATATCTTAACCTGGTCTTAACTACAGGAGTGGCCCCCAAGGCAAGGCAGACAGCAGAGTGACACATGGGTTCGGTTTACACATTTATTATAGAAATCCCCTTCCAGTGTGGGTAGTGTCTTGGGCCCAGATCCATTGGTAGAAAAAGAAAAGTTTAACACCAGGTAAAGGAGGTCAGGGGACCCCTAGCTCCAGAAAGTCACAGATAGGTATCATAGAAAACACAGCTTGTGTAGATTTGTTTAAAAAGTGGTGGATGGAAAGAAAGCCAAGGAAGACGTGACGCAGCCTGTGGCCAGACGTCACCTGAGGATTTTCCTGGCATCGAGCCGATGCCAGGCTCCACCACCGCAGCATCCCAGGACACAACACACCCGGCGGCTCTGCCCTTTAGCCCTCCTGCAGGGCTGGCTTCCTGACCAGGATAGATAGGGCAGAGGCTGGGCCATCTCAACCTGTGGGCAGAGGCAGCGGGCACAGACAGGCAGATAAGGACTGGGGCTCCCATGGGCACACCTGGGAGTAGGAAAATGAACCCAAGCCCCCTAGTCAGACTTCAGTCCTTCCGAATGTGGGCAGAGAGCCCACCTCCCCAAGAACTGCCCTGGTGGGGGGGATGGCAGGGAGTTCTGTTCACACCAGTCTCCTGGCTGCCCCGAACAGGGCCCTGAGACCCTATATTGTCCGGGTTTTGGGGCGGGGGGAGAGGTCCTAAATGGAACAGGCTGGGCATGGGAATAGGAATGAACCCAACCAGGACGAGATCACAGTTTCCCTTTTATAAAAGGTCTAGTGTTGGGGGAAGACAGTGAATACCTAAATCACAAGTGTAAACAGAAACAGAGGAAGGGGCCTGGAGCCCCCATTACACCATCCCCTCTTTTTTCAGCTGGCTGAGGGCCCCAGTTCCCAGCACAGCATAAGAGGGGAAGCAGGGAGTCAGACACCTTCGTGGGTCCACAAGGAGCCAGGGGCCTTGGAAGATCAGGTCGGCACCCCCCCAGGACTGAGCAATCACACCCCGGAGTTCAGCGAGGTCAGCCGTGTGTTCCCCAGACTAAAGTCATGCCTGGGACAACAAGGGGTCAGACCAGTGTCCCCGGGGTCTGGGGGTCAGAGCTGGAGGACTGCTCCCCCTCTAGCGTCAGGTCACTTAAACGAGAGCTCAGCTCCGAGGGGTACAGGAAGTCCGCGTAGTATCTTTAGAAGGGGTAGCAGGAATCCAGACAGGGTGCCAAGACAGAAGAGAGGGAAAGACGGACAAGACATAGAGAGAGGAAAAGAGGCTCGTTAAAGAGGTGGAGGCAGGCACAGGACAGCACCTTTAGGCTCACAAGCATGGGGGCACGGCAAAAGGAAGAAGAGAGAGGCGAGGGGCCTGGGAGGCCCTTCCTCCCAGCACCCTGCTTTCAAGGCTCATTTTCAGCAGACATGCACTGTTTTGTTCAAATATCAGAATTCTTCTACAGCTTGGTAGACAGCTGCTGCTGCTGCCAGGGCCCAAGACACCCCTCCACCAAGACCCCACGGATTCATGCAGGTCAGGCAGGGCCCAGGACCCTGAGGCGAGGCTGCGGCTAGTTCTCTCGCGGTCGGAGTCACTAACTCCCGTGACTGGCTGCTCCCCAGCCTGGATGCCTTTGCCATCTGCCTCCAGAGACCCCTACCCGTCAGTAAAAGCCCCCCCCATACCTGCCAGAGACAGGGGGTGCCGTGAAACTCCTCGAGTGCGGGAGCGGCGCCTGGCTGGGGGCCCCATACAGCGCCTGGCCCACCTCATAGCAGCGGGCATGGAGGAAGGGCGGGTGCTGCGGGCCCACGTGGGGCAGCACAGGCCGGCGCGGCGGCCCGGCAGCCAGTCCCGAGTTGCGGATGTACCAGTCCCGCAGCCCCTCCAGGGCGAGGTTCTTATGGCCGCTGCGCTCACCGGCCGGGGGGACACGGGTGGGGGCGGGCATCCACAGCAGAGGGCTTGGATGCACCTCAGGCCCCTCGGTGGCCTCCAGGGATAGGCCACAGGGCTTGGTGCGGGTGGCACGGGAGTGGGGGTCCTTGCTGCGGAGGAGGGGGCTGCTGCCGTCAGCTGTGTACACAGGTGGTGGGCCCGGGAGCACAGCGAGGAGCCCATCCCGGCGGGAGAGGGGTCCTTGGACCTCAGCTGCAGGCAGCAGCTCCCCCCAGCCCGCCCCACCACCAGCACTTCGGGGCAGGCCCCGGTCCAGGGAATAGTCCAAGAGGAAGTCCCCGCACACAGGTGGGAGCCGGGGAACCCCACGGGAGGCAGGGGCAGCTGAGCTGGGCCGGGCAGCCCGGGGAGGGTCTGGGGGGCCAGCTGTGCGGGAGGAGAAGGCAGGGGTTGGTTGTGGGCGCTCATACAGCACCTCGCTGCTCTTGCAGACCGGGGGGCCAGCAGCAGGGGGAGCCAGGGGCGCAGGCGGGGAGCCAGCTCCCCCACCGGCTGCCCGGTCCACAAGCAGGGCCTCAGAGCTGTTGCTTCGACGGGTGCGGGCTGCGAAGAGGGAGGCACGGTCGGAGGCAGGGTCTGCCCGGGGGAAGCCCATCTGGGAGTCCTGGCTGCCGGACCACTGGCGAGAATGGAGGCCTTCGGGTCTGGGGACACAGAGGTGGGGGTGATGAGAGTATGACTGATCGGAAATCTCAGGCGGAGTGCCTGGCCCGCCGTGCCCCACCTCTTCCTGAGCTTCCACTTGCGCATCTCTGAAGGAGGCCCAGGATCAAAGACCTCGTGTACAAACGGGTCAGGTGGGGGCATGTAAAAGGCAGTGGAGGTTCTGTCCCACGCTGGGGGGCAGAGGGACGGAAGACGTATGGGGGGGTGTTAGCGCTAAGGGAGATGTAAGCGTGTGCAGGGCTGGAGGGGGAAAACTGACAGAGGAAGGCCAGCAGAGGGCTCTTCCCAACACGTGGGGCCCCCTGCCCTGCGAGGCTGTGTCTCCGAGCTCCTGGCCCCTCGGCCCCTTCGCAGTGGGGTCCTAATCCCTGGGCCTGGAATCCAACTCCTGAACTCTCTGCCCTCCCCCACCCCCCACGTGTCTGAGCCACCCTGAACTATCAGCCCCACAGCCACGGTTCACAGGATGTGAGTGCCATAAGGATAGGGACTTCGTTATACTCACAGCCTGGAAAAGCAGGTGCTTAGCAAGAATTTAAGAAGTAGGAGGGTGCAGTGATTAAATGCATGGACTCTAGAGTCAAACCAGCCTGGGTTTGAACACCAGGTCTTCTGTTTACTACCAAGTCACTTAACCTCTCTGTGCCTCAGGCTCCTCATCCATAGATTGGGAATAACAACAGCATCTACCTAGCCGAGACCTTATGGCAATGACCAGAGTCATACCTCGCAGAGCACGGATTCCCAGCAGGTGTTAGGTGCTCAGTGCATGTGAACCAGAACTTACTATGCCCACAGTGTCCTTCAGATGCAGATATCATACCCATCTCACAGATGAGGAGCCAAGATTCAGAGAAAGGAAGTGACTTCTTCCAAATATACCTTTCAAAGCCCAGCCTCTCACATCCCACACCCTTTACTAATGCCCACCCCCCCGTCAGAATGAACAGTTACTTCTTCCGGTCCTCAAGCCCACCCTCAGAGTCCCCTTACTTGCAGAGCTGGGGGCCAGCGCCCCGGGTGAGGACAGGGGTAGCAGGCACGCTTCGCCCCTCAAAACTGGAGGCACTCCTGGGCAGCGAGCGTGTGGGGCTGAGCAGAAAGACAGGCCCAGGTGGGGGTCCAGGTTAGACACCGTAACCACCAGCAAGCTGTCCTGCCCGCCCAGGCTCAGGATCCCCCTCCTGGCTCCCGGGGAAGGGAAGGGGTTCACCCTCACCTGGTGGGGCTGGCCACAGAGTTCCGCCGGCTCTTCAGATCCCCGTAAAGATCTGACGGGGGTGGCTTCCATGGGGTTCGCCGCTCAGGGCTGCCCCCAGATACGGCCCGCAGCTGGTCCCAGGCCTTGGGTGGTGAGGGGCGCTCAGCCAGGGGGAAGCAGCCACGGGGCTCCTCTGGGAAGAAGGCGGAAAGTTGGGGAGAAGTCAAAGAGAGGGGGCCTGATGGGCTGTGGGCAGGGGCAGGGGGAGTGAAGCAGGGAGCAGCAGAAGGAAAGGCGGGAGCTAAAGCATGAGGCTGGAACTGGGGATGAGGAGCTGGGCAGTGTGAAGCAAGAAAGATGGGGGCCCCACGTGAGGACGGGGCATGGCTCAGGAGGGGTTAAAGAGAGAGTGGAGGGGCTAAGCATCAAAGCAAGGGTGGGTGTGGGAGCCAGAGGTCCTCACCATTATCATGGCTGGCCCCAGACTCCGAGAGGGAGCTGCTCTCCGAGTGCAGGATTCCATCCTCTACAGGCGAGAAGGGGAGACCCAGGCCCATCAAGGCAAGGCCTAGGTGCAGTCCCCTTACACCCCCGGATGGTCTCCTCCCCGGCCCGTTCCTTCCCAAGAACCCACCTTTACCTGAATCCAAGACCACCTGAGGCTTGGCTCCTGGTTTTCTTGGTGCCATCTGGTCAAGTTCCCAGCAGCCCCACCCTCACTGTAGAGCCCATTTATCTCAACTCCTCTTTCAGGCTGGGTCCCTTCAGCTCCGCCTGGCTCCCACTTTTCACTGGCCATCCACCCCTCCCTGCCACGTTGCTCGGCCAATGCCCACACTTGGGCATTGACAGGGCCGGCTCACCTTGGCTGAGCTGGGCGAGGCGTGTGCCCAGGCATACTCCCTGGGTGGTGATGAGCGCCCCCGGGGCCGGGGCCAGGGCCAGGGGCTGCGGAGGGGGGAGCCCCGGGAGGCCAAGGCGGGCCCGGAGGTCCCCCAGCTGTTCTTCCAGCTCGTGCAGCCTCCGCAGCGCATCTGCCTGCACCTGGCGCCGCCGGCGGCGCTGCTCAATGCTCAGCTCAGGGGCCAAGGCCAGGCGGCGGGCAGCGGCTGCGATCTGCTGCTGCACGGACACCTCCCGCTCCAGGGCCTCGAGAGCCAGCTCCTGCGGGTGGGCAAGAGGGTGGGACAGGACCCAGTGTCAGTGTTGGAGGGGGCCAAGGCCCGGGCCCAAGTGTGGACAGAGCCAGCCAGCGCAGGGGCGGGGCCTGTTCTGGGGTGAAGCTCATTTCTCCAGCAGGCAGGGCCGTCTCGGGGAGGGACTAGACAGATTCAGCTTCCAGGGAATGAGAGGCTTACGACCACGAGGCCCAGCCTCCTCCCTCAGAGCCAGAACCCACCTTCTTCAAGCCATTCCCTTCTCACTTTAGCCTCTCCTTCCCCTGGTTGCAACCCCGAGGCGGCAATCTGTACCTGTCCCATCCCCATCCTGCCCCCCAGGCCCGTCTGTTCACCTCAGCAGGGCACAAGGAGTGGTGTGCTGGGTTGGGGTGCGATGGAGGGTAGGCGCGGGCTGCAGGGGGCCGCCGGCGGACCAGCTGGGGCCGTTCCCCAGGTTCCAACGGGCACTCGGGGGGCAGCTGGCCGGTCAGCTCCTGGAGGGGCAGGGGTCAGAGACTACCGAGGGTTAGCTGGGGAATGGGGCACAGCAGGAATGACTACAGAAGCTACAGAAGTCCTACTAGGAGCTCAGTAATGCTCAGCACCCCATGCCTGTTGCTTCTCCTCCTCCCTCCCAGTTTGCCACCCAATAGGGGTGCTGTGGACTCTCAGCCCCTTGGTGGCCCAAGTCCCTGGGGCAGTGGGCATGGGAGGTCGGGAGACCTGCTCTGGAATCTGGAACTTCTTATCTTTCATAAAGGCCACACGTCTATATACTGCATATGACGTCATGCTCCCCTCAGGGCCTGGGGCTGTATGCTGCGAACTGCGTTATGGGTTCTGGCCAACTGCGTAGCTGTTCACACCAAGAGGGGTAAATCAAAACGGTAACTCACCCCTTGTCAGTTCAAGCCAGGTTGTACTGCCAGATTTTGGAAATGACTATTGTTTAGAAGGGTTTGGGGATTTCAAATTGCTGATAGGGAATTGAGGGCCTGCTCCACCATATTTTACTGACTCTAACACATCAAAGTTGAGCTTTGAGGAGCTAGAAGGTGAAAGGGAATCTACCGCCCAGACAGGTGGCTCGGCACTTGCCACTCCAACCTGCCTGCCTAGGGCCTCCAGGTCCTCACCGCGCCCTGCCACCAGACACTTAGGGCCCGGCCCTCACCGCCTCCTGCAGACACACTTTGCGGAGCTCCTGAAGTTTCAGGCTCAGGGCCTCCTGCAGGGCCCGCTGCCGGTCAAGCAGCCCCCGCAAACGCTCTGACTTCACCTGGGGGGCAGCCTCTCCAAACAGGGCAGCTGGACAAAGAGGGAGCAAAGTTCCAGGCAAAGATCAGTCAGGGCATCCTGGCGCAGCTGTGCGGCCAAGGACCAACCCTTTCAAAGTAGGCAGGTGGTGACTCAGAGGTGGGGGCAGAGGCAGAGAAGGGGAACCAGCCACCCACCTGAGGCATTGAAGGTGGGTGAGCTGATCAGCTGACCTTTGACTTCCATCCTGGTGCTGTTGAGAGGCCGTGGCTGATGGCTGGACAAGGCCTGGCAGTGACGCACAGGAGCTGTTAAGGAAGTGCATCCCGCGTTTCCCCCAACCCCTGCCCCTGCCCAACGCCCCACACCCCAGCTGGGAGTAAGGGGAACCCTGACCCTGCCCGCCTGATCAACCTGCCCTCTCAGAATCCGTATCCGCGTCTGGCCCCACTGGGCCCTAGTACCTTGGTCCCCTTCCCATTGAGTGGACGCACAGCACGTGGGGAGCTAGGTGGACTTACGACGCCTCCTCAGAGGCCCATGGGCCGCAGTCAGGAGTCCTGCCTAGGGAAGGAGAATGAACTGTACAGATTCAACCAACTCTAACAACGGTGGGCACTGATAAAGCACCTGGGTCGTGGAACATTCACCTTCCCTGCCACACCCAATCTTCCAACCACCCTTTGATGGCAGTTCTGTGATCACTGCCCCCATTTCTGAGACGAGGACTCTAAGGCACAGAGGGGTAAATAACCTGCCCACTGGCTAAGGATGCGGCCCAGGCCCACCCCTTGGGCCTGACCCTCCTTGGCTGGAGTTGCTCCAAGCCCATCAATTCCTCATAAGCTCCCAGCCCAGCAGGCCTCAGGGTCTTTGCCCAGGCTGTGGCTGCTATCTGGAACACTCTTGCCACGTCTCACCCCTCCGGCCCCAGGGGGGCAAGCTTACACACCGCGGGGCTTGCATGTCACTTCCAGAGGTGGGCCCCTGCCCAGGTCCCCTCAAAACTGCTGTCCAACAAGAGATTGTGCTTCCCTTGCATGTTCACAAGGACAAGAAACATACCTGTCCTGTTTTCACCGTATCTCTGACACTCAGAACACTCCTGAGCCAGCAGTGAGCACTCAATGAATGGCTGTCGCGTAAGTGAGAGAATGCCAAGGGACCTGAGATACGGATCTAGCCCAGATCTGTGGGTCTCTCCTCATCCTGATTCCATCCTGCGGCCCCGGTGCCACAGGGAGAGTGTTCACTTAGCCCCGTGACCCCTCCAGTCCCTCTGCCCACCCCAGTCAGTTCTAGTCCTGTACCGGCAGAAGGGAGTCAGAAGGGAGTCACCCTGCTGGGACTGTGAGCAGCAAAGTCCACAGCTGCAGATAACAAGCCTCCTGCCTCCTGCTTCCCTCTCTGCCCCCAAACACCCTGGCTGACCACAGAGCCTGCCTTGGCTGGCTGCCAGCCCTGCCCTCATCCCCTCCTCTGGAGTTTGCTCCTTCCCTCCCACATCCTGCTCATTCCCCAGCTGGGGAGCCAGGTGACATCACCTTCCACCACCTGGCCTGACCTCGGGCGGGTGGCAGTAAACTGGGAGGGCCTCATGAGGCCACAGAGGTCCCCTCCCTTCCTCATCCCAGCTTGTCATGCTGCAGGGGCCAGGTGTGGTGGAGACCAAGGCGGCCAAGGAGGTGAGGGTTCGAGCCCCCTCCCCATCTATCTGCTGTGGAATGCGGCCAAACTGTTAACATGGGGCCACCAGGCCTGCTACTGGCTCCCGGCAAACGGTGGCCCCCTGTCCTCGCTCTCAGGGGCAGGGGTCAGGCCTGAGAGCCTTTCTGCACAGCCAGGCAGCAGCATGTACTCTGAAACAGCCTGACGTCGCCCGGCATGGCGGGGCTTCCTTGAGGTCCGGGCTCAACCTCTTGGGCCCCTAAGCTCCCGGAGCTCCTTCCTCCACAGCTCCCAGCTGAGTCTGAGGCACTCTCCCAGGGCTCCACCCCAACAGGAACTTTAACTCCTCCCCGGTGGGCCCATTCACCAGGATAGGTCCCACATCCCATGCTGGGCTGCCTTGAGCTTTCCCTCCCTGGGAGCTCACGGCATCCTGGAAGTCAACATGGGGTCTAGACAGGAACCCCGACTCCACCCTGTCAGCCTGACCTCGGGGACATAGCTAGGGCCTGAGTCACGGGGTCACTGGGTAGGCTAGACACAGGGTCAATGCCCCACACCCCCACAGAGAGCTCCCTAACCTCAGCCTCTGCTTGCCTGCCCTCTGCACATTTGCCTTGGGGTCCAGAATTGCCCTGTCCCCACCTAGACAGGGATCAAAGGGGGATCCCAGCAGTCCCCTTCCCTAACTTCCCTCCCCCCAACCCCTGAGTCCTGTCCCAGGCTGGGCTGCAGCAGGAGAGCTGAGAGGGTACCCCCCACACACACCCAGAGGCGGGCCCAGCAGGTTTTTCAGGTCTGCCCTTCTGACACCACAGCCGAGAAAGAAATTCCTGGCCTGGCCGTAATGACTGTTTACAACCAAGACACCTCACCTGGGTGGCACCCTAACACCTCAGTGGGGACCCCCCATTTCCCTATCTTGCCACTAGTGGGGCAAATACAAACTCCCAGTGTCTGGGACTGCTCCCCACACTGCCCTAGAGCCCCCACCCTGGCCCCCACTCTGGGCGAACAGATCAGGGGCAGGCAGGTGTCGGGAAGCAGTTTCTCAATAGCCCTGTCTGGGCTTCCCCCAGGGCCCCGGGGTTGCAGGAAGGCAGAGGCTACTCCCCAGGGGAGGAAGGGGGAGAGGAAGTAGGGGGGACAGTGGAGAAGGAGGACTCTCGCTTCTCTTCTCCCCCATCCTTTCTCCTCATTCATTTCCGGCAAGGAATCGGCTTCATGCCACGAGAGGAAATTGAACATTTTGGGCTTCACTCCTCTACTCAGGCCCTCCTTCTTCACTGTACTCCTCACACAGACCTGGCTTTCTCCCAGGGGAAGGCTCAGTACACCCTACACCCTTCTCCCCGCCACCCCGCCCCTGGGCCCCCTGTTCCCAAGTGCTCACCAACGCCGGAGAGGTGCTGTGGGGTGGCCTCAGGTACCTCAAAAAAAAGATAGTTGTCTCAATCAGGCCCTGTTCCAGATGGTAGTGGCAGTGAGCAGTGAGCACAGTGGCGGATGCCTAGGCCGCCTCCCACTAGGCAATAGCCCAGCCTACCTGGCCAGGGCCTGGGCCAGCCCATACCTCTTAACCCTTGCCTGCCTGTCACCAGGGCTCAGGACACCCTCAGGGACAATCTCAGGGCCAGGTCCCTTCAGGGTGTTCAGCATGACCAAGAAAAGAGCCCAGATGTCCCCACTCACCCCAGTCACCTAGTAGAGAACAAAGGAAGAAGGGCCAAGGGTCGTGGGAGTGGAGCTGCCTCTAGTGCTACCCAGGAGCCCACATCAGACCCTGCCCACCCAAGGGCATTGCCTGGGAGCTGAGGACGGAGTTCTAGGGACTTGTTAAGCACATGGGTATAAATCGGGTGTGTATCTCTTGGCAGCAAGCATCACGTGCCTGAGGCCCCTACCTTTCCTTCCAGGGCAAGGCACAGGTGGGAGAAGGTCTTGGGGCAACCGCCACCCTCACTGGGGTAACAGTTTGCCAAACTCAGGACAGAGGAGGCCAGCTTCTCCAAGGAAAGATTGGGGTGTCAAGACCCTACCACCTTCTGCATCTCCAGAAGAAATCATCCCAGCCAACTGACACATCATGCACATTTTCACCCCTACTGCTCCCTACAAACCTGGGAGGATGACGCAGACCCAGCTCTTCATAGCCAGTTCGTAGATGCGGAAGCTGGGGCTCGGAGAGGTGAGGAGGCCTGATTCTGATCACAGATGCATAAGAGCGGGTGGACTCAGAACTTGGGGGGCCGGGTCCTGGGCTGGAGGTGGACAGGGGCTACTCCTGCAAGGGAGGAAAAGTGGGGAGGGGGCTCATGCTTCTTCACATCCAGGCTGGCTCTGCCCCACCCCTCCCCCTTGAGCATTTCTGGCCAGGAGTCAAGGAAATTGAGGGCTCTGGCCTGCCCCGGCACATACCACACATCCTGTGCTCCATTTGGGACCATCTGCTCTGTGACCTCAGGGCCCAAGCCCAACCCGGGCCCCTGCAGCAGCCCATGCTGTGATGTGAAAGAGCAGAGTGAGGAAAGCTCCCTCCCCACTTGGTGGGGGGGCCAAGCCTGGAGGGGAGCACTGTACCAGCAATGCCCTACCCCGTGTATGTAGACACGCAATGCGAGGCCTCCTGCCACCCTGCCCACCTTTCTTCCTGGGAGTGAGATTTCTGGCACGGGACACAAAGGTTCCTTTCATCCGCCCCCTTCCCTCGCCTCCACTGCCTAGGGCTGGTGGAGGCAGCAGCCATAAGGTGGGTGGCTGAGTGTCCATGGGGAGTGTCCCCTCAGCCACGGCCTCTCTCCCGCCTCTTGGGGGACAGCAAGAACGCTGGGAAGAGGGACACTTATGAAACCAGAGCTGAGAGGGCCAAGGGTATCTGGCTGGCGATGCAGACTGAGCACCAAGGTTTAGCTTTCCTCATCTGTAAAATGGGTAAACAGCATTTCCAGGGCCAACAGAGACCAGAATCACTTTGGAAGGCATTTCAAAGTACAAGGAAACTCACACCACGTCATTAATGTCTGTTAATAACAACAATAATAAACCCGTGTGGAGATGGGCTAGGGCAGGAGTAAGGAGGGGAGAGCAGGTAATTGGGCCTCTTGGGCCAGGCCAACAGGTGGGGCAGAATCACCCACACACATCGTCGTCCTGCAAGATGGCCAACCTCCAGGTCCCACCACAGCCGGGACTTGAGCCCCATGTGGCCTCCTGTAGGGGTAGGAAACCATGGCTCTGGGATTCAACCCTGCTCTGCCACTTATGGCTATGTAGCTGCCCAGACAAGTCACTTATCCTCTCTGTGCCTCAATGTCTTCATCTATAAAACAGGGGTGATGACAACAATATGCACTTCACAGGGCTGTTGTGAGCGTGACATGAATTATGACACTTAAAGACTGTTTAGGACAGTAACTGGCCCTTGGTAAGTAAGTGCTCAATATATATTGGCCGTCATAATTACAACATTCCTCCCAATCCAAACTCGGGAATCGTGTGTGTGTGTGTGTGTGTGTGTGTGTGTGTGTTTGAGACAGAGCTGGTACCCCCAGCTCCACCCGATAAACTTCAAACAGAGCTGTTTTCCCTCAAATAAGCATGTCCAAACTCTTCACTATCCAAAATCAGAAACTAAATGTATGCAGATGCACTGCTGAGACAGAGCTGGTATACCTCAGCCTCCACAGCCTCCCCACTTATCACCCAGACATTGAACCCTCCCTAAATATCAAACCAGACATATTTGAAACAGAGCTGTTCTCCATCATTATCAGACCTCTAGCTACCCAACATCAAAAATGCAGGAACCAAACCTATTCAGACACATTCTCCAAAAGCTCACTATCCACATACAGGAACTGAATGGATCTGGATACACCTTTGAGATAGAATTGGCATCCCATACTCTCTGAGATTCCCTTACTCACCAGGCAAAATGCAGGAACCAAATATATTCACACAACACAGTCCTCTTACTGTTCCAACTCCTGCCACTAGAGTTCAAGGAAATGAATCGATTTGAATATATCTTTTAGTTGGAGCCATTATCCCTCATCATCTGAACCCTCCCCACTATGTAAAATGCAAAAACAAACAAACAAAAAACCTCTTCAGATAACTTGGTACCTTTCACTGTCTGGATTATCCAAGTGCTCCCTCTCAGAAGTCAGGTGCTAGACAGACGCTGGAACAATGAACGCTTGTGTTGTTATTAGTAGGTTTGGACAGGGGTGCCTGGGTGGCTTAGTTGGTTAAGCGTCTGACTCTTGATCTCAGCTCAGGTTTTGATCTCAGGGTCATGAGTTCAAGCCTCACATTGGGCTCAAAAAATAGGTTTGGATAAGTGTTTCAGATAAATGAGAGGGGTCTAGTATCTCATTATTCAAGCTGTTACAACTCTCTATGACAAATGCAGGAACAAAACACAATTGAATAACACGTTACCTTCTTGCTATCCAAATTCTCCCTGCCTGTCCTCAGAATCAAGGAGATTCAGTGAAAGAAACTTGTATTGCTCTAGCTGTTATTGTCAATACAGGATAGGACTAATTCTAACACCCAGCGACACACATGCCCCCAACACACACACACACACACACACAGATGGGATGGACTTAGCACCGAAATTTGTATTGCTTACAGCAGAGAAAGGGGGATAGAACCCCTCTAACCCCCATCCCACCCCCATCAAGCCCTGAAGCCTCTGGCCTGGAATGGATTTTTTCAGGCCAGGAAAGCAGAGATCATGCACACCCAGGATCAGGACTGGCAGATGGGGGTTAACATGACACGGAAGAGTCACACATACTCCTGAGTCTCCCACCCCTGCATGTTTGCTCACCACACCCCCCCACCTTGACATGGGGCAGCCCCCAACCTAGCCAGGCTGGAAACATGATCCAGACCTCACAGACTCCCAGAGAGTCACTGAATAATTTAGGATGTTCTTTCACACTTGGGTAGGGTGGGGGGACATAGGAACAGTTACATGCCCTCCTGGGGCAGGGAGACAAATGCAAGCTGTGTGTGAGATCACTGGGTGAGGGTGAAGGGCATCACATATGAAAACCCCCTTAGCCACACAGGGCCAAGGCTGTTTGCTCTTGCTCATACTAAGAGAAGCATTTGGGATGAACTTGCAATCATGGAAATAGTAGAACCTCTAAGTTCAGGGGCAGGGTATAACAGGACCCTAGTTCTGGGCTGAGAGGAGATGGAAAGTGGGTGTTAGGAAGAGGGAGATCTGAACAGGGTGGAGGGGCGTGGTGAGGGGTAGAACAAGGGCCTGGAGTTGGGAGGGGATGAAGGAAGAGAACAGGAAGGAGTGTAGGGGTCAAGACAGAATCAGAGTCATCATAGGATGGAGGTCAGGAGGCAGGACAGAGAAGGAGCCAAGACACTGGCCAGGGGATTGGATAGAGTGAGGTTGTGGACAAGGGTCAGAGGAAAACGTAGGGGGCAGCAAGGAACAAAAGAGCAGGGGAGGGTCAGTATAGAATGGTAGTCAGAAGACATGATGGGGGACAGGCCAAGATGGTGGTCAAGGAAGGGGAGAGGGGAAAAGGCCAGTTCAGAATGGAGGTAAGGAACAGGAAAAGACTGGGACAGAATAAGGAGAGGAATGAGGACAGTGATAGGACAAGAGAAGACAGGGGAAAACAGCACAGGGGTGGGGGCAGGGACAGGGCAGGAAACAGAGGGACTGTCTAAAGGGGGTGGGCCAGGAGGGAGATGGGGAGTCAGGAGGGGACCAGGAGGATAGCACAGGGTGGGGAGAAAGTTTAGAAATCAGAGATCAGGAATCCAGACAGACCTGGATCAGACTGCGGTTAGGGGGACAGGACATGACTGGAAGGGGATCAGGGGCTGGACAAGAGTTTAGGGAACAGACAGGTCAAGCATCAGGCCAGAAACTGGGATGATCAGGACAAGGCAAGATGAGCTTCAGAGATGGAGCAGGGGCAGGCCAAGGATCCCGAGAACAGAACTGGGTGGGGTTTGGGGTCAGGGCTGGGTTTAAGGGAACAAAACGGATTGAGGATCACACCAGGCCAGAATATGGTTAGGTTGGGGGTGAGATCGGAGGTCCTGGGGCCAAGACTGGCCAGAGCTCGAGGTTAAAAAAAGATGTAGTCAGGTCAGGTCGGGGTCTGGAGTGAGACCACAGGGTCAGAGGTCGCGGGTGCGCGCGCAAGTACATCCCCTGTTGGCGTTACCGAGCCCTCACCCCGCCCTGTCTCCTCCCTTCTCCAAGCGGGCGTTACTCACCGAAGGTCCGCGTCCCGCGACGTAGGCGGGGTCGCTGCAGGCCAGGAGGGGTGGTGGGCGCGCCCCTCCCTCGCCGCCCCCCCACCGCTCGTCCCGGCCTCGCGCTTACTCCCCCTTCCGCGCCCTGCCCGTGGGCCGCGTTCGGCCGCGCGACTGTTAGCCGTGGGGGCCAGACGGGGGGCGCGGGGAGAGGGGGAGAGGCGCGCCGGCTCGGCCGCGGCCGGTGGACCCCGGCCCCCCCGACCCTCACCTCGGGTCCGTCCCTTCCCGGCGGCACGGACACAGCCGCCGCTGAGCGCGAGCCTGGGGGAGGTGGGGGGACGGGGGGCGGGGCGCGAGACCACAGCAGCGGCGGAGACCTAGTGCGCAGGCGCCAGTTTGGGTCTTCGATTTTCCTGCCCTCGGAGCGCTAGGAGCGAACCAGCTGGGAGCGCGTGCGCACACTCTTTCTCGAGGGGTGGTGGAGCGCTCTCCTACGGAGGCCACACCCCCTCCGCGATCAGACTGGCGCCCCTCACTCCAAGTCACCCACCAACGGACCCCCAAGCAATACCCCAAACTGCCTTCTATCAGCGACCACCACACCTCTAAACTCTCCTCTAAACTTGTGTGTCTCCAAACCACCCTCCATCATCCCCCCCAACTGCATCCCCAAACTATGATCCACTGATCCCAAGCAGTACCCCCAATCCAACCTCCGTGGACTCCCGAACTGTAGGAATAAACTACCCTTCACTACCCCCCAACCCGTTCCCCTAAATCATCTGCAATCAGCCTTGAAACCATTAACCTCCAAAGAGCACTTCCAAGTCACTCTCCCGTCCACCCCCAGTATGCACCGAAAACACCCCCATGGACCCCAAATCGCTCCCCATGTATCCTCCCAACCATACTCTGCAGCACAAAACTATGCCTCCAAACCACTCTTCAATGATCACTATACCCAACCTTGTTTTAAATTACATGCAACCATACCCACAAAAACTCTAACAGTTTTTTCCATACCATCCAAACCACCCTCCAAAAACTCCCAACTACACCCTAAACTTCCCTATAATAGTCCCCAATGTTATCTGTAAACATTCCTCATTTACATTCCCAGTCTCCCAACTACACCTCCAAACCACCTTCCAGTGACCCTTCAGTATTCCCTTTGATGGCTCCAACACCCAAACACTTTCCAATGGCTCCTAATTATACCCTCAAACTGTCTTTTTCTTTTCAAGACTTTATTTATTTATTTGAGAGAGAGTGAGAGAGAGAACACAAGTAGGGGGAGGGGCAGAGGGAGAGGGAGAAGCAGGCTCCCTGCTGAGCAGGGACTTCCCCCCCCCCCACCCATGCAGGGCTGGATCCCAGGACCCCGAGATTAGGACCTGAGATGAAGGCAGATGCTTAACTGATTGAGCCACCCAGGCGTCCCTCAAAGTGTCTTTAATAATCTCTGAGCATCATCCCTCCAACAATCACCAAATCTACCCCAAGCCATTTTCATTAGCTTCCTGTGGCTGCTGTAATGAATTTCCACAAACTTGGTGTCTTACTACCTAAGAAATGTATTCTCTCACAGTTCTGGGGGCCAGAAGACCACAGTCAAGGTGCCAGCAGGGCCATAATCCCTCCAGAGACTCTAGGGGAGAATCTGTTTGTCACCACTTCTTACAATGGGGACTCTCAGCATTCCTTGGCTTGTAGCCACATCAGTACAATCTCTGCTTTGGTCGCAATTGCCATCCATTCCATCTCTGAAATCTGCCTCTGCTTCCCTCTTATAAGGACACTTGTTATTACAGTTAGGGTCCTCATGATAGTGATAATCCAGGATAATCTCCCCATCTCAAAATCTCACCATAATCACATCTGTCAACTGCAAAGTCCTTTTTCTTTTCTTTTCTTTTCCTTTCCTTTCTTTTCTTTCTTTCTTTTTTTTTTTTTTTTTTTTTGCCATCTAAAGTACACTCACATGTTCCAGAAATTAGGATGTGCATATCTTTGGGGGGGGGGAATCATTCAATACTATACCTTTTGGTCCCCAAAGATACACATCTACCCCACATGCAAAATACATGTACCTCATCCCAATACCCCCCAACTTTCATCCATTACAGCATCAACTCAACTTCAAAATCTCACTTTTTTAACAAAAGATTTTATTTATTTATATGACAGAGAAAGACACAGCGAGAGAGGGGAAACAGGCAGGGGGTGTGGGAGAGGGAAAAGCAGGCTTCCTGCAGATCAGGAAGCCCCATGCAGGGCTCAATCCCAGGACTCTGGGATCATGACCTGAGCTGAAGGCAGATGCTTAACGACTGAGCCACCCAGGAGCCCCTCAAAATCTCACTTAAGTTTCATCAGCCCAAAGGTTCCAAATTTTATCATCTGAGTCAGGTATAAGTGAGACTCTGGGTATGATCCAACCTGAGGCAAAATTCCTCTCTATCACCCGGCTTGTGATACTAGAAAGTAAATTATCTGTCCCCAAAACACAGTGGTGGGACAGACATAAGATAGGAGTTATAGGCATTCTTAATCCAAAAGGGAAAAAAATGGACAGAAACAAGGTGCCACTGTCCCAAGTAATTTTGAAATCCAACAGAGCTCGTTCCATTAGGTTTCAAGACCTGGGACTAATTCACAGTGACGTGGGGCTCCACCTTTGGGCCCATCACTCTGCCCTCAGAATCATTAACCCTTTCTTTTGCAGGGTAGCACATGTTTGCTGCTAAGTAGCTTCAGCCCTGTGTCCTTCCAGTAGAATTTTGGGAGTCCAACATCCTTCCTTCATTTCATCCTATCTCCATTTCTTGCAAGCCAACTGGGCCAGTGTTTCTGTCAGTATAACATTCATCCTCAAAAATTTTGTGGGTCTTCATGGAAGTCCCAAGGATTTACACCAGTAGACCAAAGAGTCTTCCACAAAACTTTCATGGAAGGTTCCTTCCTCATTCCAGACTTCCGCTGAAATGGTTGAGAGGATCCATGAGTCACAC